ATCCGAAAAATGCAAAGAGTTAGTCGCCAGCGGGATCCGATTCCAAGAACCTTCTTCGCGAGAGCCCACCGCACTATCCACTCCGCCATCCGCCGACCACGAAACAGCGGTTGCGAGAATCGTTCAAGTAACTTCGGTATTACTCCCCTCCGTCCACTTTCTTATTGGCTTTACTTTGCTATCTTTTCAATACATAGTGAAGGGACACCTCATGAATTATGCACTGTCAAAGTTACAGCTACAACAGAGCCCATTAACACGGTTAAAATCGCGATTTCTCGTCAAATTGTTTTCACTCAGTTTTTGACCTCCCCAGAAACGCATAGCAAAAATGAAACCCATTTTTGTAATCCTTGTATGGACCCCTACAACAAGCAACAAACCATTTTTAAAAAACGCGCCACGACCTGAAAGACCTCCCTTGTCAGAGATTCGAGTACTGAAGAAAAGATAGACAAGAACTAGGCATATGCTATCTCACCTGCAGCCCTTGCACAGCTACAAGGATAAGGCGACGGTCCAGTGATCACATCCACTCCTTACGCAGTAGGGTGGAGCATGACAAGGTTCAACAATAAGGAGCTAAACGTCTAGAGACAATTCTCAGTGTCCCTACTACCATTTTCACTACGGTATCGAGGATAGAGATTATAGGCCAATGATGTGAAGCTACTGCTCAGCGGAAACGGGTTATGTAATCGCAAAGCTTCGCTCGCAGCAAATTTTAGCAGTCGAGCGTACACTTGCCGTGGTCACCGGATCTGTCTGAACTGGGTATAGATGAAGTCGTCTTTTTCTTTTGTCGCTACCTGAACTACCAACGAACCCCTGTGAATTTTACATTACTCTAGTGTAGGGCGCATCTGTGTATAAAATTCGCCGTCGCCTCGGGCACCACAAACCCCATGTTGTTCTTGGCCTTTTATTGTGTATTTTTTTTTTTGTTCTCATCGTGACTGATCTATAGTGTTCAAGGATGTAAATAGCGCACTGAGGCAGTGACACGACATAGCAGATCGCTACGTTACACACCCGTTTCTACTGGATGAAGGCCTCTTACCTTATTCTGTACTCTTTCCTCTCTTTCCTTCGATACCAGTGTTAAGTGGGATGCAGAATCACTGAGAGCGCGTTCAGACTTCGCGATCGCGCGATTGGGATGGGTGAAATTCAAACAGAACGGTAACTTCAGTAGGCGAACAAACAATTTTCGATCAAATAAGGATCTGTTTAGTTACAGAGACGGCACGACTGTATCGGAATGGGAAACAGAATGCCTAGAGTCGTTCAGGTTTCACCTACAACTTTATTCTTGAAGCTGTGGATAGGGCTGACTATGGATCTCGTACTCGTACTATATTTTGTTCAGAAAAATATGCTTGTCATCATTCCTCGTATCGCACGAAACCAAAGGGCAAACAAACAATGGTAAACACACGACAAGGAGGAATACTGTCATCAGAACCATATATAAGGAAGTGGATAATAATCACGGAATGAATGCGTGACCTGTGAAGGAGAAAACATGCACAACTATTTTGTTCTACCAATTTAATCAGTTTTCGGGGAAGTCTCGTGACATTTTCATCTGGGAAATGCTTCAACAAAATGCCTCAGTAATGTCTAAAGACTCCACTGCAATGTCATGAGAAATACTGACCCAAGCGCGGACTATTTTTGATGAGTGCCATTGGAACCCGATTAAACAAGTGCATTCATAAAAAGAAAAATGGGCACTATTGAATATTCCCCAGTCTGCCGAAATGAAGCCGGTTGCGAAATTCCGAATCTGAAAAAAAGATCGAAAGGCAATCTTCGAACGTTTTTAAAAACTCAAGGTGTTACGCACAGAAAGGAAAGGAAGAAGGAAAAGAAAAGAAAGAACAGAAACATCAAACGTGAACAAACATGGACGCCACCCCGCTGAATTTCACCCATCCCAATAGCGATCGGATCGCGCGATCCGATCGCGAAGTCTGAACACGCTCTGAAGAGTGCCTCTGGAAAAGCTGACCATTTATGAGTAGCTCGCTTTGCTCCATATCTGTATGCAATGAGTGAACGTGCGCTCTGCACTGTCGCCCCCGCTCTGCACTATTGACTGCGCGAGAGGGTTACGTGGCACCCTGAACTTTTGTGCGCGGTCCTGTTGCGGGACGGCTCATGCCGTTTGCACACTTTTGGCTGCGAGCTCATTTACGAGGTGCCTGGATCATCGAATCCGCTGAAAACTTGTATACTATATATACCATTTTCACTTTAAATTCACCCTTTTTCAAACCAAATTCGTCCTTTTTCAAACCAAATTCGTCCTTTTTCAAACCAAATTCGTCCTTTTTCAAACCAAATTCGTCCTTTTTCAAACCAAATTCACCCTCACTTCAGATCATCTGCTCTTTTTACTGCACTCTCTCTCCGCATGAGCACTCTGTGTTTTAAAGGACAATTATCGCGATCAAGTATTGCGGGCAATTGTACTCTGTCATGCACCAGTATTCCATAGTTAGCTTCTCAGTAGAAAAAGAAGCAGAAAAATCTTCAGGAACACCTTGAAACCCAAACCT